AGTCCATAACACAACTCTCTCTGTAATTTTCTTGTTTGCCTCTGAAAAGCTCATCATCTGTTCTTCAAGGGTTCTCCCAGTTCCCGCAGTGGGTTCACAGGATTCATCCTGCTCCTCTTTCCCTGGGTGTCGCCACACCCAGCCACAAGATCCCCTTATTTTTCTTTTAATTACTTGACACTGATGACTCAAAAAATGATCCCCACACTGTCACACAGCTCAGCCCATCCTTAGCCCAGCCCTTCTTTGACATTTCCCTTTCAATTTCCAGCAAGCACATTTAAATAATAAATCTCAGTTCTTGATTTTTTTTTTTCCACTGAGATGTTGAAAATCCCTTCTACTGTGGATAAAAAATAAAATTACCCAAGACAACAAATCCATTATTTGGGTTCTGATTTTCTAGGAAAAGAAACAGAAAATTTTATTACTATTTCCTTTTTTGTACTTTTAGGAACAGCCTTTCTTATGTGTCTTTTTTTCACCTACCAACATCTTGCCCATTACAAACAGATCTTAGTTGAAAGAAAAATTCTATTATTTAGAAAATGCACACTTTTCTGAACTTTATTTTGTGGGAAATTAAACTTTTACTCTAAAAGTGATCAAGCTGATAATTTCACTGTTTCTTTTAATTTTGCTAAGTTGAAGGAATTAATCTGATCCTACCATCACTTATTTCTGATTTCTCTATTATTTTTATATAATTGCAATGCTATATTTACATGCTGTAATGAGACCAATGTACATTATTGCATTATTAAAAAAGTTCACTTATTTCTTGACCAAATGAAAGCAAAATTGACCTGCTTTTATCTCCTGATATGTTTTCATATTCCTAAGTCACACTCCTCCCTCAATTATGATTTTGCCCATATTGTCAGTCCTTTGCCTGCACATTCTGATCTCCAACCAGGACAGATGGTGAGGTCTTGGAGTTCCTTACGATGTGAAGATTCAGTTTTGTGACAACATTAAACTGCTTTGTCCTCTCAGCTTTTCTTAGGCCCTACAATTTCTCTATGGCTCATTGCTCTGATTTTCTCACCCTGTTAATGGGGGTTATGAAGGACTCCTCCAATTGCTCCTGCATCACACCAAAGACTCCTTAGTTTTCCTCATTATCTCTTAGGACATTAGAGCTCAGCTCTTTTTTAACTTAGATGTTTTATTAACTCATCATGACAGGTGATGCTAAATGTCTCCTGATTGTCTTCCCACAAAAATATCTGTATTTCACCTTCTATTTTTATTTTTCTCCAGTAATTTTGCATAAGATCTTCACTCCAATGCTGACAAAAGTCTCCCGAGCTACTTCTGAGGTCTTTTAATGTTCATACTTTTGCCTTCAATTATTTACTATTGTGTAGAAAATTATTAAAAATCTCAAATGCATCAACAAAAACACATGACTGGGATCACACTTTAATTTAATTATGTGATCACATTCACCCCCACATTCATGCTTTATTTTGTGCACAGAACATAGTGATAACTTAAAAAGAAGACAGCCAATATGTTGTTTCTGTTTCCCTGTTCAGTGACTGCAGCAAGTTTATCCCAGTTTATCCTTGTACCTCACTCAACCCTGTTCTAAAGATAAAACTAAAAATACCTTATTGGACTCTTGTGTTCAATACTGTGTCTTGTGAGAGTTTTGCAAATTCTTAGGAGCTAATTTTCAAAATGTTGCTATTTCTGGGATCGTGCCAACTTGAGAGGGAGATATCTGATGAACAAAATTAAAGCCAAATATTTCCTCTAATTTTTGGGTGCTGAATTTCAGTTGCCCTGTTGTGATAATAACTGCAGCTGGGAACACAAACTAAGAAGATTCCCAGCACATTCTCACTGTGTCCCAGCAATAACAGAGTTGGTTCCTCACAGATTTGTAGGAACCACGTAGAGAGCTGGCACCAGTGCTTAAGGACAGGGATGTGTCTCTTCCAATGAAGTTCTCTTCCAGTTGATGGACACTCTCTGATATGCAGAACATGTGAGGTTATGTCCATGAGTCTCACATACAGTGGGAAGGTAGAGTTAAACCACAACAGTCCTTTCTTTCAGCACTGGGTCAGTATTTTGGTGCCTTTGTTCAGAAAGTGCATTGTTATATTTTTTGGATTAGTTTTCTTCATGGAAAACTAGAAGCAGGTGTCAACTTATATCCCTGGGAAAAGGACTGGGATGCTATTTGTGGGTTTGCATTCTCCTGTCTTCGATAGATTCTAATGGATTCTACACAAAATTTAGGCAATGACAATTCTAGAGCTCCACATTTTTTTATTTTTTTTTTTTTAAATCACAGTTTGCAGAATACTCTAAAGAGGAAGTTCCTGAGGAAAGTTCTCCTGGTTTTCATGCCTTTTTTCCTCTGGAAGAGGCTCCCACTACCTTATATCCCCAGTTTGTAATTTCAGAGGAAATTTCCCTAAACTTCAGTGCCATTCTTCACACCCTAAAGAAAGCTGAACAACTTTGCCTATTTCTATCTAGTCCTTTGTTATCACACGTGTAAAAGCTCTGCTGTGGCTGCAGTAACTGATGAAAACAGACAATTTGCAGCTTCTTGAGAGAACAAAAGAAGGAATTGAAAGACTAATGACAACGGCCTGGTTTGGTGGCCCAGGGAAAGAAGGGCAATATCATTTTCCCATATTCAAAGTTGCAAAACATGAATCCATTTTTCTTCTTTTCATCAGCAGCAAATAATTCAGATGTTTCCCATCCCTTAATTGTGCCTTTGTTTCCGTGATGAGGGGAAATCATCCCCATGACAGTCTGTTGGCTAAATTTTCCCCACATCTGCAAAGTGTTTCACCAAGTGGGCCATTTGCCCATTTGCAGGCTAATGAAAAAGACGAATTTCAGATTCTTGAGATGGAGCCTGTGGAGGGAGGTTGGGAAACATCATATTTCAGAAAACAGCCTGGGTTGGACTGGGAGAAAGATTTTATAGATTCTGCTGTAATATGGGTGAATGATGACAGATTCAGTCTTCCTTTGTAAAGTTTGGTGAAAAGACCATGTGCTTTCAGGGCCGTGAAACCTTTTTCTTCTAGTGTTCACAACAGGCCATTGCAGCATTCCCTATTTGATACAAAGGCCCTGAGGATTTTACTTAGCTGTCACTCTCTGAAGGCTGAGACACACCCTCAGAAAATCTTTCAACGGCCAGCAGAGTAAAATATTGTCTAACAGCATCTGCACCAGTGGCACCCAAAGCAACAGACCTCTCCAGGCTTCATTTTGTTCACCAAGGTTTGTGCAAACAATAGCCTTTAATTTCTCAATTCTGGTACAAAAAGAGCTGGTTCAAGGGCAAGTTTAGGGAAGCTGAACCCTGCAGCCCCTTGCTTTTTATTCTCAGAGCTGCTAGAGAGCCTCACGAGCACACAGAGTGTCAAAAAAAGAGTAAGACTCAGGAAATTTGCTGCTCAATTGGTCTTTAAGGTGTTGAAGCCATTCACACCCACTTGACTCAGACTGCAGGAAAGAGAACGTGGGATGAAACAAAGGCACTGGCCAGGAAGAGGACAGAGTGAGGGTTTACAGTCTGGGTGGGGGGTGAAACAGGTCCTCAGAAAGGGAAATGTCCTTGTGGAGGTACAGTGGACACAGGCAAAGCAAAGCCCTGGCAGCTCTGATCCTTTCTTGGCCAAAGTGGGATTACACATTCAGTCACAGTCTCTTTTACAATTTATGCACAAAACAACTCCTGATGGGATACAGTTACTGGGCCAAATCAGAGATTCACTGAGAAAGTCCCTTTCAGTCTTATTCTCTTATCCATCCACATTACAATCCATACTGTGGGTTGCAAATAAATCCCCAGGAAAGTGTGTATCAACATACAGAATTGGAGAGATCAGGTCATTCTCTGGACCAGAGAGATACAGGGATAGAGAAACACAGGGTCCTCTCTGGGATTGCTCAAAGCAGACAGAATTTGGTCCCTCCTTTAAATTGTTTCCAAACCTGAATCAAAACTCATCATGGTTAAAAAGCAAGGGAATAAACAAACCTTCTGTGCATGGTGTTGTTCCACGTTCTCTTTTTGGTGGCAGGTGGCTTTGAAGTCATAATGACATGAATTAAGAGTTCAAGGTGGCAAACATTTAAAAGCACAGTCTCATTTAAAATCCTTGCATTTGTAGTCCAGCCCTGGGGTAAAAAGGAGTATTATCTGCAAGAACATACTATGCCAGCCCACTGCACGTGGTTTTGCAGCTTGGGTTACACATTCTGATCTTATATTCTGATATCCTCTACAGGATATTGCAAATATTTCCTTCCAGGTTTTTAATATACTGGGATATCTTGTATATGATTTCCCTCCCCCTCTTTACAGACCTTGGGTATGTGTTCTCTCATCTCAGAGACCTGGATTGACATTTCAGCCAGGAGGGAGAAGTCACGGGAAGTCATTCATTTCACAAGAGAGAAAACTAATTTCCTTGCTGTTTGAAATTTGTGAGACTGTTTTCAAGAAATATCCCAACTGATGCGCAATTTTTCAGGCAGCAACAATTGCTTTCGGGCATGTCTGGTCTCAGATTTGCATCTTCATCAGGATTTGAACCTCTCTACTGCATCTCTGCCATTCAGTGAAGAGAACTACTTTGCTCCTTTAGATAATAGGCTGTTATCCTCAAGCAGATTGATCATTAGAAGTAAACATGCCATTCACTCTGATCATCTGTGCTCTTAAATACATCCATCCTGCTAAATCTGTTAATGTTTACCTTCCAATTTAGAAATGGCAGCATTAAGATCCTAGCTAGCTAGCTATATAAAAGAAAAGCAGAGGTAGATTTCAAGTTTTGGTTTAACATCCAAGAGAAAATGATATTTCACTATGAAAAGTACCCTTAAAATATAATTGCAATTTGAATATTTTCCTGCATTTAGGAGAAAAATCACAACTGAGTATCTGAAATAATGTAACACAGAGAAATGTGAATTTGGTGTTTCTGGGTTTTGTGGCTCCAAGAAATAATGGGAACACTAAGTGTACAGACTTTTTATTCCTCTTTTATCCAGGACACCAGGTAACATCATCACCACTGTCGTTATACACAGTGTGCACAGTGCCAAACAGCATCAGAACTACTCAGGATGCCTGGGAGTGCTTCTATCCTAGAAAATCTGTGACAAGTGGAGCTCCTCAGCTGTCATTTTTTCTATGGAAAAGTATGAATGAGCTTAGACTTGTTTTTTTTTTTTTTTTCTTAGTTGAAAACAGAAGAGTGGAAAATACATGATTAATGAATGATATATCAGGGTTTTAGAAACTTATGAATGATGGAAAGAAAGAGTTCTGATCAGGAAATAATTATTCACTGTCTTGCTCATTGCAAGTAGTGGAATCACCACCCCTGGAAGCGTTCAAAAAATGAGGAGATTTGGCACTTTGTAGTGTGGTTTAGGGCAGATGGTGGTGTTGGGGGTAAGGTTGGACTTGATGATCTTGGAGGTCTTCTCCAGCCTTAATAACTTTATGATTCTAATTTTAGGCTGAGCAGTGAAACAGTGAGACCAAGCAAAGAGAAGTAAGTTGTCAGGCAGCATCTCTTTCCCACAAAATATGGTAAAGTTCAAAAAGCACCAAACCACTTTGTAAGGGACCACACAGACTCACAATGGTAAATCTGTGACTGGAATCTCCATGTGACTTGTGCCTTCGGGAGTCACCTGCCGGGAGGTGGGAGGAAGAATTACTCTGTTATTTGCCTGTTTACAATATGCTTTATGAAAGCAGTCATTCCTGTTTTTTGCTGGAGGAAATATTCTGCCAACATGGACCGTTGGTCCATGAAATACTTGTATTTTCTGATGTAATTCATTTTGCCCAATGTGAGGATCTCATACTAACAGAGATCTTTGGCAGCCGCTGTTGGGAAGTGTAGGACACCCACAAACATTGTTGCAAGGAGTAGGGATGAGGAGGCCAAAATTTCATTTCCACGACCGCAAAACACATGAAAAATATTCTGATGTGTAAAGGAGTGGGAAAGAAATGAGGTGGAGGAAAATGAAACCTAAGTTCCTCAGTCACTGGGAGCTAAATCATAATCATTACTATTAATTATCAATAGTTAGGAGTATTAGTAATTAATCACCTTGTCAGGAGGGTTAGTGGGCTGAATGGCTGAATGGTAACAGGTCTTAAATCTGAGCATCCTCACCTGTTCTGCAGTTGCTCCCTCCAGATTAGACTGGGCAGCAGCCTCTGGCAGTGGATAACAGCAGCATTCACCCTTCAGGGCCATTAGTCCCAGGATTTTTAAGCAGCACTGCATTAATTTTACATTGAAGAAAAAAAATCCTACAAAATAAATCCTAAAAGACAACAGAGAAGAAATCGATGTTTGGAGATGAGTTGATTAGGTCAGGAAAGAAGAGGCTTTGTGTGCATGTGGCCACAACTGGAGAAATGCACACACACAAATAAATCTAAATTGCTTAAGGAATATGAGTGTAAATAAATGATATTTTATAGTGCACCAAACTGCCAAGCATGTCATAACCCTGTGAAAACCACTTAGGCTTTAATGGCTGAAAGGCATAAAACTGACAGAAGAATAAATTCCCTGTGCACTCTGACATCAGAATACATTTCCTATGGAAATAGTGCTGTTTTCCTCATTGACTTCAAAAAAGCCATTGAATAGGGGGACTTTAAAGGCTTGGTTTGGTGGGGCAGCACACCTTGGCTTGGAGAAGGCTGGGGAGATGTTTTCCAGTGAAAGCTGAGCAGCTGAGGATAAGAAGTGAGCAAAAAAATGCTGGCAGCACTGGTGGAACAGGTGGGATACCTGGTGTGGAAAAGTTTGGCAGGTGCCTGGGATAAAATCTAAACATTTAGGAGCTGAAATTTGAGTTTATGCACACCATAATTGCAGAGGGGATCATGCTGCTTATTGTTCAATCTCCTTTGCTCAATGGAAATGCTGCAATGGATGCTTGATCCTAGAAAATATACTATGTGTACCCCCAAAGTCATAAAGTGGATACTCCAATACGCTGTAATAAACTAAAATTATTACATTTAAATATTTTAAAAGACCAAAACCTACATAAAAAATGAGATGACCAAAAGAAGAAAGAAAGAAAGAGAGATTGAGTACATTGGTTTTGGACCTTCATTTTTAGTAACTAGAGATTTGTAAGGTGGAAAATAGTCAGATAGTCTTGGAATGTGGCTCTTGCCTCAAGGAAGAAGGTGACCCCTCCTTTCCATCTGTTCCTCAGAGTTCAGTGTTCTTTGATGTATGATATAGATTTCAGGTCATAATAATAAATAAAGGACATCTTTAGTTAAAAAAGAATATTCTTCAAATCATTAAATGTTGATATCCCCATTAACCTGAGCTCTCCTGACAAACAGTGGAGTGATAATTAATATAACCCCTGGAGCTAAGCATGAGAGTCTTGTCTTTGTAAGGTCTAACACAGGTCACAGGACAGATGAATGAAGCCCTTAAAACACCTATTTCTGTCCGTTTGCTATAGAAGAAGTCAAGGGTGACAAGCTCAGCAGTAGATTTTTTATTACAGGCATCTAAACTTAGGTGAGATGAATCATACAGCAAATGCCCTAGCAGTGAGGACACTCATTATTCTTACATGGAATAATTGACCATGGAAAAGGGGAGAAACCTCCCCATTGCTTCTTTCCCTTAAGAAAGAATAAATACAATATCCTACCAGCAATAAAGCTACAGACATCACTGTACCATCTATTAAGTTTCCTTGATCTCTGATTTTTATTACATTATCAAAGCAGGTGAGACACTATGTTGGCATTGTATGAACCCTGCACACATTCTTCATATTTCCATCATTCCTGTGTCATCTGAACCAATGCTGACACGACCTGAATAAATGGCACAATACAGTGTCACTTCACACTCAGGTGAAGCAGCAGCAAAAATGTTTATATGTGTTTATGCTTGCAACGCTTCCTTCATCGTCGTGATGAGTCCTTGAGCCTTTCTGACACTCTCAAGATCTGATTTGGGCTTATTTTGACAGGTTGCTGTATGCAAGTTCAGGCTTCCTAAGCAATCTTGCATGAACTATAAGTGTTCAAAGTGTTGTCTTTGTTTCACACGTTCCCTGACAGAGGTATCAGTGCTGCAGGCAGAGAGGAGTAGCAACAAAGCAGGAGGTGTGTTGTGTTCACCAGAAATGCAAATCTCAGTCCCTTTTCTGATAAGAGATGCAGAGCCAGCACACCAGCACCTGCATGGCTCCAGGGCTCTCCACCTGCAGTCTCATTTATCCTCCAGATTCATTAGGAGCACTACCAAAAGACCAAACTAAAGGCATAAAACAGCCTTCAAGGACTTAATCACACTTCTTTCATCAACCCTTTCCCCCCCTTGTCTTTCTAGCTGCAGGCGTTACCCCTTGGTTCATCTGTCCACTCCTGCCAGATTCAGGATGCTCCTGTCCCAAGCCAATGGATGTATTTCTGCAGACTGACTGTGTGGGTACCATGAGGGGTGGCATAAAGTTTGGTTTAGAGCATAATGCACGAGATCAGTGTGGTGCTGAGGAAAGACAGTCAAGTCTTCCCATGCCTCCTCCCCACCAGCCCTCACACACACCATGGCCCCCTTTTCGCCGTCTTTGATGGGCAGTGTGGTTTATCCCAGGATAAAAAACCAGGTGGGAATTGCAGGAGGAACTGCCTGGATGCTTCCGTCATTAATGCATTACAGAGATGGGGGAGCTGAGGTGTTGGTGCACATCAGCCTGCAAAAGGGTATAAAGTGCTGCTGGAGACTGGGCTGACTGGTCTCCCAAGGTTGCAGACAGTTTGTGGGTGGTTCCCCCCCCGGCAGGGTCATCTACAGGGTACATCCAGCCTGAAGACGGGGTAAGCTAAAGGAACTTTGGGATGGGTGAGCAAAAGACATTAAAATTTGGTCAAATACGGAAGTAAAATCCTAGAGTAGCTCCGTAGGTACTTTGTAAATGTGAATTCTGCAAGGCCAAAGACTGTAAACCTGTATGTTTGTAGCTGAACTTGCTTGTATTATAACCCTTTAGATACTATAATCCATTGTAACAAATGATAAAGTTGTTATTTAGATACCGCACTGGCAATATTTAGATACTGCATTAGGAATAAATCTAATCATAATCATCCACATAAATCACTGTCCTACTTCTCCCACCTGCCTGATATCCTTACCTTGACTACTCTGCAGCAACCAATCTTCTACTTTTGCATCTGACAGTCTAAATGTGCTTTGACTTCCCTATTTTACCAAAAGAAAATTATCTCAGAGGCCCCCTGATGTGGTCAAAAGCTCTCCTGGAGCTGCTCACCCTGGGCTCACGTCATGTTCCAAAGAGTTGGCTGATGGGCACTGGGACAACAGGACATGTACACAGTGTGGATGAACTGAGATTACCTGATCACCAATTAATGTGAGGAACTAACTGGTGAAGACTTGTTGAAGATCGCAAGGGTCCTAGGACCTCACACAAGTTGAAATCTGACTTTTCTACAGAGCAAATGTTTTCACTTTTTTGAGATACAGACACTTGAGGCCATTCCATGAAGTCTAGTGTTGACCTTAACCCTGCTCCAAACATGTCAGTACATGCAAAATATACCTATTGAGTCCAGTGAAGGTCAGCAGGACCAGAGGCTGTATGGATAAAGCCAGAACTGAAATGAAATATCTCACTATCCTCCCTGGTGGCTCTAGAGTATCCTGCTTATCCCATTCATTTTCTTCTCATCCCTGTTGCTCACTCACTCTCATCTCTATAGTGCTCAGATGTTTTCCCAATGCAAAAAGATAATAGAGGGATACAGATATTTCAATTGGTCTTTGATGGCTCTAAGATAGCTGCTGGAGGAAACTGCTTGGCCCTTGAAGCAGTTCTAATGACTTCTTTGGGGTGGTACTCAAAGAATCTATCATGGCATATCCATGATTCCAATTCTGGGAGGAGTTCAGATGGGGTTGGTTTGTAGAACCTCTGCTCTGGCCTTCATCTCATTCCTCCTCTCTGTCATTTTCAAAGCAAAAGGTTAATGACGGAAGGAACAGTAACTCTCCTAGAGTCCACATTTTCGATCCTCTATTCCATTCCCTTGATTTCACCCTCCTTTGCTCGTCCCACTGACCCTCAGTTCCCTCCCGTTCAAAGTGCAATGGAAATCTCCATGTTTTGCACACACACAGACCAGGAGTGTGTACAAGGCTTACACCCCTCAAATCCGGTGAAAGACTCACATTGGATGGCTTCGCATCTTTTCAGTGGGTGAAGGGTTGAGTCTCGAGGAATGGGGGTATCAGCCCAGGATCCATCGTCATCATTCACTCACCCTCCAAGTACAGCAACTTTCAGAGAGGTCCCACTCAGAGGGAGATGCTGGTCACAACCCATGATGGTCCAGGACAGTTCAGAGGGTCTCTCTTAGGACAACCGTTTAGAGGGTCACAAGGGAATTGGCTTTGGTCATGGTATTATTCCATCCAGGCCACAATTCAGGTCGGCAACTTCCTTTGAAAGTTCGACAAGAAAAATGTTGTTCCACTGGAGTTGTTATTCAGGCAAGAAAAATAAGTTTCCAAAGCTGTTTGTTATAAAACAGGAACTCATTAGGCAGCAACTGGTATCTGGGAGCAGACAGTGTTTCTGACAAGCTTAAGAGGGGCTTAACCCAGATGCTGTTTGTCAAGGCCGAGGCCTAACGAGCATTTCTGAGATCATAGTGCAGCCTCAGGAGGGGGGAATGTACCCCCACAGACACATACAGAACATTTCGTTATTTTTATCTCACTTTGAGAGAAGTAAACTCACACACACAAGGCAGGGCAGGAAAATAAAATGTTGTAAGAGGATCTAGATAAATAAGATTGGACAAATTAGATATTCTGGAAGCAATAGAGATTGAAAGTGTGTCTGATGTAAAACAGAAACCAGAATATACAGTTACAACAATCACACAAAACACACCTGAAAAAAGGTGCCACAGCATTTTAAGGGAGAAAATCCCTTTATAAAAGCCAGCACTAAAATCTTGGAAAGGTTTGTCATTCTCCTTTCCTGATCTCTCAGTAGAAGAATCTCATAATGAGAAGTGAACCTCAAAGAGCTCTTGGCTGAGTTATGCCATTGTGGGTTCCTACAGTAGTTAGGACTTTGTAAACTTTCTGAAGTAAGACCCAGCTGCCCTTACATTTTCTTTTTCTCCTGTGCAGTATCTTTGCTACATGTTCCTAAACTTTTTTCCACCATTTTTCTGTCAGAAAGCACTGCCAAATTCAGTGACATAAAATAGGTGGCTGAGTGAAGACTGAAGGAGTCAGAGAAATTTAAGGTTTCACTGAGGCAACTTTCCCCAGTTATTGAGATACATTATGGTATTTTTGTGTTAGGGAGGCTTCTTTTCTCTCAGTTTTTCCCACTCAATTTTCCTCACCATTTACTAAATGGCTGTATTTTCAGTCTTAAGAAGTAAAGTCTTTTATAATGTCAACATCTCTTGATTCAGTGTAAGTTAGAGATCCATGGAACAGTTTCCTGCTGGAGAGCTCTTCCTGCTAAAAATAATATTTCATGAGAATACAATCCTTGGAAACCAGATATGTTCATTCTGTAACTTTTCTTCTGTAGGAAAATCTGGATTTTCCAGTGATAATGCTTATTTAGTGTTTTGGGAGGAGCAGTGAACTGATACTTTTACATTTACTGAAATATTGCAGGACTTGGTATTATACAGAAAATCATTGTGGTGTGAAGACGTGTATTATTGCTCTGAGATAAAAGGTTAATTCCCTTCCTGAGCCCATGTTTTTCTGGAGACCAGTGAGCAAGGAAGGCAGTGGAGTCTGGCTTTGAGAACAGCCTCTAGGATTTCCCTCTGTGGCTGTATTGACAGCACCAAAAAGCCTGGATAATGGGATGATGTTATCTCCGAGGATACCCAAGGAATGACAGAAGGGTGAGAGCTCATGAATCACCGTCCTCTGGTGGGTGAACAAAGCCTTACTCCAGAGTTATTAAAGAATATTTGTTTTTAATGGGGATGACAGAAAGAAATATGATTTGCTTTTATTCAGTTTCGTGGATAGCAGTGGTCAAGATTAGAGGCAGGACAGGGCAGAGCTCTGTGTGAAGTGTCCCCTCGCATCCTGACTCAGCTCCACATCCAGCACCCAACCAAATGTGCAGGAGGAGGGAAATCCTGCCTTGCTGAGTCTTTTGCCTTCTCAGAGTCACACCCATGGGCTGCAAACCACTCCTTCCTCTGAGGTGTTCTGCGAGTAGCGGAGCTCAGCTTTTGTCAACCCTGTTTCAGACTGTGACAAATTCCTTCCCTGAATCCGTACTCTTTTTAATCTAAATGTCAGGTAGGAAATTAAAGCCCTGCTGAAATGGAGTGTATTACCAGCATTTTATTAGATCACAAACAATTTAATAACCAGATAGAGGGAGAAGGTCATTTTGTTGTCAGTCCAACTTATCTCATAAATTAGGCATCAGGTTTTGCACAAAAGCATCTCTCAGCAAATAAAATTATCTGGTTTGATGAAGGACCTCTGTCCACGGAAAACAGATAACAGATGAAAGATGGAGCCCTGTAACAAAATTCTTATCCAGGAATGTATGGAAGGGGATGGATTCTTTAAAAATACTTTTCACACATTTACCTTATTAACAGTAAGCAAATGCCAAAGCAGCAAAGGACACACCTTCCTGATGGGTTCATGTGAAATGCTTTCAAGGTCAGTAAACAAAAGGGTTGGCAGATGAAATATTGATGATAAATAGGGGAACTCTTAGTGACCTCACTGGCTGTAAAGGGACGAAACCTAGGACATTATCTCTTCACTAGGACTATTTATAGCCCAGAGATTACACTTTTCTGAGCAGGAGCAGGGCAGTGTGTGCTGCAACATGGCATTGATTCCAACATGTCACACCACGAATTTGTTTCTGGGATGAGGGAAAGGAGTGACAAGGAAATGGCTTGGTTAGAGCAAAATTTTTTTTCTGGAAATATGAATGTCTGATATTGCTCAGATTTGTGTTCCTGCTCCTTTTGGAGGAATGGGGAACTTTTTTTTTTTTTTTTTTGAGAGAGAGAAGGAATAAGAGTATTTTTTATTCTGGTATGATAAGGGCATAAACACTACTTAGTGATGAAATGGGAGTGCTTAACTGACATGGCTTTGCATAGTGGATTTCCATTGTGTCTCCTGGCTGAGAAGCCAGGAGTTGGCCCTACAAGTACCAGTGGGTTTCCAGTGGTGTCCCAGGGCTATTGACCCAATGTCATCCAATTTTTGGGCTGCTAATAAACTACAACCTTGTTCCTCACAGCAGTTTATACTGTTTATGCTATACGGTTCATGGACTGATGCGTTGAAAAATACTTGGTAATTTGTTCATAGAATACGGGATCTCTTCATGTGGATACCATTAGTCAAGGACAGGATTTTTATTGCCAAATGCAAAGGGATGTGCATTCCCAGGGCATGGAGTGGTAGACCATCTCAAAA